TTCCCTAGAAAATTGAGGAACAACAAATACACCATTGTTCCCCGAAGCAATTTTATCACTCACAAGTGTTTAATCTCTCCTCTCAATTTTTTTCAGACCCACAGCCTATAAGAACAATGTTGTGATACCACTGTTAAGACATGCCATGGGCAACAGAAGCATAAAATATAAAAAAAAACCATACAAAACCATTAAGCAGATAAGAGGAAAGGTTAGGGAACAGAGCAATTTCGTATTTGCTGGATAACCATGCCATTCTGCATGTTTTTCATTCATATATAAGGCAAATACATGAAAAATGACAGCCACACATAGAGCCCATAAATGCTGTTAGTAAAACACATGTCCCCACCATCATTAAGTATGTTCGGCTCAGAACCTCGGCGCTAATAAATCAAGGTCATCGAATCTTCACAGGAACGCTCACCCAAACAGAAGTCCGAGGTCGAGCCCGAACCTCCCTTAACATATGAGGTCGAGTATGAACCACAGCATCCGGATCCGAGGTCGAATACGAACCTCGCCAAAAATTCGTTTTATTCAAAACCGAGGTCGAGTATGAACCTCGATGTCCCCGCTTAAAAGGCGAGTTCAAACCTTAGCTAAATCATTTTGCTCAAACCTAAGATCAAACCCGAACCCCACCAAAGCCTAAGGTCGGATACGAACCTCGGCACTTTCAAGGTCAAACCCGAACCTTAATAAAATGGGTCAAATCCGAACCACAATAAAATCAATTGCTCAAAATCGAAGTGTAAGGGCGAATATGAGCCTCGACACTCCCGATAAAGGTCGAGTCCGAACCTAACCAAATCGTCTAATTCAAATCCGAGGTCGAATACGAGCCTCAACACATTTCCTTAAGGTCGAGTCCAAACCACTAACCTGAGGACGACTTTGAACCCTGGCAAAGCACACCCCACTCTCAATACCGGGGTCGAATTCAAACCCCGGTACAACCAACTTAAGGTCGAATTCTGACCTTGACTCCAGTCTAGGGTCATTTATGAACTTTCACAATAATTACTTAGTCAAAATTCGAGGTCGAATACGAATCTTAACACATTCATTTACAGCCGAGTTCGAACTCCCACGAAAAATCCTACTAAACAAAAAACTAAGGCCGGCCTCGAACCTCGACTTCACCAACTCAAGGTAGAAGTATCACCATATACAAAAGCATATAACAGACACCAAACATGTGCCTCAAATAGCGCAAACAGCCAAAATTGAACGCAAATACGGACAAGATAGAGCAAAATATATATATATACAAACAAAGTTCTCAAAATTCAGTACATCAATTCAATCCAAAGAAAAATAAACCAAGCTATTACAAAGGCGGCCTAGGCTGAAGCACCCCCGCTAGAACTGTCGTCGGCATCGTCCTCCTTGACTAGCCTCCCAAAGCGGACAACTTTCTCCACATGCATGGAAGAAAAGTCGAATCTGGGAGCAAGAAGCCGAGCCTGACGAGCAGCCTTTTGGAAGCCCCTCTTGTGCTCAACCACAACGGAGCGTTCGACCTCCGCGATCCTCTTGTCCGTGGCCGCCTTCCCCGCCGCCAGCTCCGCGAGCTCCGCCTTCAAGGTGGCAATTTCGTCCTCACGGCCACCAAGAATGACCTCGCTACGGAGGCGCTCCTCAGCCGCCGCCGCCAACTCTCCCTTAAGGGAGGTCACAACGTCCTCCAGAGCCCGCACTTGGCCATGAGAAGAGGTCACCTCATCCTCTAAGGAGCGAGCGCGGCCTCGAGAGAAGGCGACGAGCTCCTGCAGCTCCCCCACCTGAGAGGCATAAGCCTCATTGGATCGCAACGCAATCTCAAGAGACTTCTGCACCCGTGCAAGGTCGCCATGCGCAGAGCGGAGCTCAGCCTCGTGCCGCTTCGCCTCACCAAGGGCTGCGCTAAGAGCTTTATTCTCTTCCCTCAGGATCTTGTTTGCCTCCTTCCAGGGTTGAAGTCGGCCCCTCAACTTGGCCAGGTCCTCCTGTTGCTTGGCCAAATCCTCCCCCTGTTGGCACCACTTGGGCTTCCAATGGCCCATTATGCCCATAACCCTCTGTAGAAGGACCTGGGTCGCATCAAAACTCTCTTCAGGACCGACCCCGTCTATCAACCCCTGGCCCTCGGAGCTCAACGAACCCTGAGGGTAGAACTTCTCCCTGGTCACCCCCGCGCTCCACAGCGAATTCATGTCGGCGGAGGCGCTCACGTGGTCCAGCCGCACTTTGGAAAGCCCCTTCCCGAAACGGTGAGCCAGATATTGGCTCCGGGAAGCCTCTTGCGACGGGCCAAGCGGCAGTCGCGGACGGAGGAACCTCATGACTAGGACCTCCTCCACGGGCCTCAGCAGAGGCAGAAGCCGGCGTCCCTTGCTCAGCATCCAGAAAGTCCACAATGGGGACCCTCGACCTTGCCTGCGAAAATCAACCCCATGTCAAAAATAAACAAGGTGACATACGAGGAACCACAAAATCAAGTAAACAAACACTACCTACCTCAGTAGCTTGGGCGACCTGCTTGGCAGCCTGCGTCGCCGCCTCAGGGGCATTTCCTGCCTGCAAAAAACGGCCCCAGGTCAAGCGACCGGAGAGCATAATAAAAGGATTAACGAAAAACCCAAGAAACAAGATACTCACCACCTCGGCAACTCGAGCAACTTGCTCAGCAGCCTGGTCTCCCACCTCGGCAACGGTCGCCCCGACCTGCGAAAAGATACACTCCGCCTTAATAAGCCAAACAAAGTCAGCACAAAAGACGCGCATAAAGAGATAGGACACTCACCTCGGCGGCCTGCACAGTAGGCTCAGCAATCTGAGCCACCTCCTCAGAGGCCACCTGGGGCGGTGGACTCTCGGTGAGATCCACCGCATCGGCATCGGGGGGGTTTGGACCTCCTCGGCGTCGGCAGAGGCGGAAGTCCCCCCAACCTCCCTCGCTCCCCTCTTCCTTTTTCGGCTGGCCTGTAGAGGGGGAACATCCTCCTCTTGGGGCTCGGGGACCTCGAGTTCTGTGACATTGTAGCGATGCTTAAGCTCGCGCCACAAATTGTTCCCCATGATACCTACAAGCAAGAAGCAAAACACATCAACAAAAGAAAGCTACACAAACCCCAAGCGACCAAAAAACAAACAAAATACTCACTCTCCAAGCCCCTCTCCCTGTATGCCGAGTTCGCAAGCAACAAAACGAGCTTGTAATCCAGCGGGTGAGGAAGCGCAGCGAGGTTGTCGATAGCAGCCACCTCCGAGGCCGTTAGTTTCACCTGGCCTACCCCGTGAAACCTAGACGGCTTGGGGCACCAGTAGAAAGGGAATTTCGGCAGCCTGCCGAAGTAAAACGCCCCATCCTCGAAGGGGTCAACATCCACAAGAGCAACCCGGAAAAACTCTTGCTTGAAATTTTTATACGACTGGGAGTAGGGGGTAAACAAACCCCCATCCCTACTCCCACTCAAGGACAGAATGCCATATGGCGGAACGCCTAACTTCAACTGATAAAAATGAAGAAAGACGGGAAGGGATACCTCTATCCCCAAAACTGTACACAGGACTTGAAAAGCCCTCAAGAAACCCCAACTATTGGGGTGCAACTGGCAAGGAGCCGCGTTGACATGGTTCAAAAAATCACACTCAAACTGAGTGAAAGGAAGACAGACGCCTAAATCCCTAAAGAAATAATAGTACATATAGAAATGGGGAGAATCGGTAGACTTCCCCATGTACACACCCTCACCAGCCTGACAGGGTTCAAGCCGGATCATTCGGGAGATAGAAGGGTCGCAAACCCTGCACGACCTTACGACCCTATTGACCTCAAGAAAGGTCCGAAAGACACTTTGGACGCCCCCACCTCGCACTTGACCCAGTCATAGTCAGGAATACCTGGCTCCAGGCCCTGGGGCGGATCCCTCTTTTCGGCAGCGGCTTTCCCGGTAGCCACCGCCTTACCACGAGCCTTGCCCCGAGAAGGCGCAGAAGAACCGGCACCACTTCCCCCAGCCATGAAAAAGACAAGAAAGACTTAAAGAAGGTTGGGGAAGAGGGAAAAAGAAGACTGTAGAAAGGAAGTACCTGGTACTCTCCCTCAAAAATCAACCCTAATAGTGACTGGGTTACCGAAAACGGCGGCGAAAATGGAGAAGACGGAGACGGAAGACAAGCAGAAAAGCGAGAGCAACGGCGTGCTCAAGAAGCCACAAGAATGGAAAAGAGCAAAGTGAAAAAGGCCAAGAGGCGCGAGTGAGAGAAGAGAAAAAACTTTCCCCCAGGATTTCAAAACGGTCACGACACGTGTCACCCAAGGGATACTGACCACGCATTAAATGAGACCCATTATGACAGAGGAAGCCATCATTGCATAATCGTCATGACCACTAACGCGCCGACCTCACGTTTCGAAATACGAAACGACTTTTGCACGCGTGGCATCTTGACAGGCAGACATACGTGAAGGGTCACTTCCCCCTGGCGAGCTCGGTCTTAACTCCTCGACCTACGGTCTTTGGAGCTCGGGGTGCTAGTGTACTGACCGTACCGCGAAGCCGAGCTCCAAGCTCGGCATCACAGTGCAAGATGATCTCGGGCACGCGTCATACGACGTCAGCTCGACATTCAGGTGAATCACAACTGATTCCCGAGAATCTCGCCCATACGAGATCCATTATCTAATCACTGATTACCGAAGATCTCGCCCCAGACGAGATCCGCTATCATATCTTATCTCAGGCCCAAAGCCCAAAGCAACCCTAATTCACTCCAAGGTACGTGCATTACTTATACAAACCCTAACTTTAGCATCAGAGTCTCTTTTGCAGGTATCACCCCCATCTCGGAGCATCAGCGTACCAGTAAAAGAGGCTCACCAATCTTACTTGGAAGATCGTCCCTACGACAAATTCCGGTAAGAACAGAATGCTTTTTTATAATGTCATATATTTATTTAGGAAATAAACATTTTGGTAATAATAAGGTTGGAGAGAGAGGAAGTGCTATATATGCGGGAAAGTGCTTCCATTGCAGACGCAGGCAGGCAGATCAGATCCTCTCGCTTTCACTTCCAACAAGACCTGCCTCTGCTTCTGCTTCTGCTTCTTCTGTTTCTTCCTCTTCCTCTTCGATTCGATTCAATTCAATTATAGTAACTTCTCTCTCTTTCTCTCTCTCTTCTTGTTCCATCTTCAATTCTCTTATTCAGCCAATTGCCCCAATTCACGCATTATTTCTCTCAACATTTTTCTTCCTAATTTTAGGGTTAGGTTACTGCTTTCCACCTTAATATTCTTTACTCAGAATTGAAGCTTGGTAGATGCGCTTTCAACTATTTGTCATGAGGTGAAATTCGTGGTTTTGTTCCCCGTAGGTGTCAATAGCATAGGGGAACATGGCTCAACAGCAGGGGGACGAGATGGAGTATGTTGCTGAAGACAATGAAATGGCCGAAGCAGAAGATATGTATTTCCGTGGCAGAGTGTTTGGTGATTCAGAATCCGAATCAGATGATGATGATGATGATGATGATGAATATGACTCTATGGTTTGTTTCTCTTTCTTGGTATCCATTTACAACTGCATGACTAAAATCTAATGAAATTGCTTTGTTGTAGGAAAATCGGATGACATTGACAGATACCACTGCTGCAGAAGCTAGGAAAGGAAAGGACATTCAAGGTATACCTTGGGATAGACTCAGCATTAGTCGTGAGAAGTATAGACAAACTAGACTAGAGCAATACAAGAATTATGAAAATATACCGCAATCTAGTGAACTATCAGAAAAGGTAAAAATACGTTTTACTTTAGTTCTGTACCATTTAAGTAATGATTTTTGGGGGACTTTTTTCCTCATCTTCTCTATCCCTTGTCTACAGGACTGCACACAAACATATAGAGGAGGAAAGTATTATGATTTCTGGCGAAACACTAGATCTGTGAAATCAACAATACTTCATTTCCAAGTACGTTAATATAGTAATTAATTAGATTAAATCATTCTGGTCTCGCTCTGTGTTAACTTCTCTTTGGTGGAAACATAATTGCTTGCATGTACATATAATATCTTACTATTGCCTTCTAGAATTTTCAACCAGTTAACTAACATAAATATGATATCTTTAATTTGTCATTTGCAGTTGAGAAACTTGGTTTGGTCGACATCAAAGCATGATGTATATCTTGTTTCGAATTACTCTATTATACATTGGTCTTCTTTAAATTCCAAGAGATCAGAAATTCTGAATGTATCAGGACATGTAGCTCCATGTGAGGTAATCATTTTTGCACTCCTTTGTTATCCAAAGGATCACTTAGAAGTTAGAAAAGGCATCTCAGCTTTTAAATGCCTGTTGGTTATAGAAACATCCTGGAAGCCTTTTGGAAGGGTTTACCGAGACACAGATTAGTACATTGGCCGTGCGGGATAAGTTGTTGATTGCTGGGGGTTTTCAAGGAGAACTTATTTGCAAGGTAATTCTATTATTCTGGGGGTTGTACTTGTCAATTTTATTCTCCATAATGATTATTATTTTTTACTTGTCATTATATATTGGTTGTATATTATTGCTGCACACCATTAAACTTGATCACTTTGATTTATTGTGCTCAATATTTTATTTCTTGCTTTGGATGCTCAAATTAGATTATGGATTTTATACTCATTATATAGGTTTGACGCTTACATTGTTTTCAAAATGGTAGGGATTATTTTGCCTTTATACGGATATGATTAATTGAACAATTACTGATTAGCCAAACCGAATAATATGAATTTATTCTCAATTATGTCAACATGGATTATCGAATTGATAATTCTCAACTGATTAAATGATACATCTTGTCTTGCAGTACATAGATCGTCCCGGGGTTAGCTTTTGTTCTAGAACTACTTATGATGACAATGCAATAACAAATGCTGTTGATATTTATGAACATCCAAGGTCTTGCTTCTCTGCTCTCCTATTTTTTATTTTCTCTATGTACTTGGGATATATAATGATTTATATGGTATTAGCAATTACTGCGTACAACTCTCAAAATGGTGGCATACTGACAGTTAATTGATATTCCAGTGGAGCTGTTCATTTCATGGCTTCAAATAATGATTGTGGAGTTAGAGACTTTGACATGGAAAGATTTCAGCTTTCAAAGCATTTCTCCTTCTCCTGGCCTGTAAATGTAAGTAATATTTGTTTTTATTTGGTGTAAATTTTTTAATTTTGCAAAAATCCTTCTGGGATTTGTTTTTTTATTGTTGAAAGTAGTGTAGTATGCCTATCAATCTGCCATGTATCAGTTTATTAATAGTGGGTGGAGACACTAAATGTAACTGGATAAACTTGTTTTTTTGGCTCTACAATTAAGGAGCTTTAAACAAAATAATAGAATAATGATGGGGGAATTACTAAAGTTTAAAAAAGGAGAGAGAATTGAGAGTATGTCTATATAGAAGAACTGATGATTTGAATTTGTTCCCTTTCTGCCTGCAGCATACTTCATTGAGCCCGGATGGGAAACTGCTTGTGATTGTTGGAGACAACCCAGAAGGGTTACTAGTGGATTCTCAAACTGGAAAGGTGGGGTGTATTCTGTTGGTCTGTGTTACAGATTCTTTATATGCCGTGTGTGGGTAAATTATAAATAACTAGTTTAATTTTTGATTCTTTGTAGACTGTTAAGCCTTTATGTGGACACTTGGATTACTCATTTGCATCTTCATGGCATCCTAATGGCCGCATTTTTGCTACTGGAAACCAAGACAAAACATGCCGTGTTTGGGATGTTAGGAACTTGTCAAAGTCTGTTGCTGTGCTCAAGGGCAACCTTGGAGCTATACGATCTATACAGTTCACATCTGATGGGCAATTCATGGCAATGGCTGAGCCAGCTGACTTTGTTCATGTCTATGATGCAAAGCATGGGTTTGAGAAGGAGCAGGAGATCGATTTTTTTGGGGAGATCTCTGGTGTATCTTTTAGCCCTGACACAGAATCACTTTTCATTGGTGTATGGGATCGCACCTATGGAAGCCTTCTTCAGTACAATCGGCGGAGAAACTATATATATCTCGACTGCTTGTAAATTTGTAACTGCATGCCTTGTGTTTGTATGTACCTACAGTCTAAGAATTGTGGCACCACCTGACCAAGAAGAAAAAGGACTGGTGGCATGTTTCATCATACAAATGTAGGATGATATGGTCGTTACATAAACTCCATTGTGTTAAATAACATTGGTTGCCAATCTCTTGAATATTTTTTTTCAATTTTCTTTTTATGCTAATGATGGAAAAGTGTTGAATTTTTACGACAGTGGCCGCTACTTGCATAGTTTTACGCGGGTCAACCTTTTGGTGACATTTTGTGGTACATCCCTCTAGGATTGTATAAACTAGGTTACACAATGTCATGGATGAGTTGCTGAGCTTGCGTTCACGAGGTAGGGTTAGAGGATTAGTTGGTTACTTCATTAATTCATTTAATGCTGAACAAGTAAAAGGTCGGTCATACGGATAAGGTGAAAACAAAATGGTCAGTTCTCAATCCAAGATGCGTTGTCAAGTTAGTTTTATTGCTAACCTTGGAAATATTTACATGCTTTGCTTCCTTGTCAATGGGATATTTTCTTTGGAGTGGCTAGCTGGTTGCTTTCGAAAGATTGCAATTCCCCAAGAAAAAAAAAAGTGATGAGTAGAAGGAAAGGAATGAGAAGACCTTAGCTTTGGTGTCATGAAACATGGTTTAAGGAATAAAATGAGGGTTATAGAGTGTGGAGGCTACTCGACATGTAAGGGGAGATGGGAGAAAAAGAGAGCAAATTATAGGTTAAGCGTGAAAATGAATGGTTTTAGGGTTGAAGTTAGTCTTAGACACCAAATTGTTCTCAATCAAGTATTGGGAGAGTTCGAATCCTCCCTTCTTTTGAGTAATTCTTGGTTAATCCTAGGATAGTCTTCGAACAATTTATTTTTCTCTGGATCCAAAGAGAAAGACAATTGATCAAAAACAACATATCTATCTAATCAAATCGGTGAATATTTCTAATTAATTGGAATTAGTGGCCTAATGATCTAATTAGAACACTAATGATATAAGCAATAGATTTTACATACGTGATGGGTGATTTTGGGTATTTGTTATTACTCTAAAATTGTTCCTTGTAATGGGTGTGTTTGACACCTTAACCTAAAAATTAAAAAATTCTTGATTATGATTAATAATGATTAATCGAATAATTTCATAAAATATTTGACTATTTTCTTATATAAATAGTAGAGTCTCTTATTTATTGTCTTATAGTACAATTTAAATTCAATTTAATTAATTGTTGAAATATTATGTTTTAGATGAGATTTTCAGTTATAATTAATGTTGATCAAGTTAATCAAATATTAAAAGAATGGGTGTTATAACAATCAATATATACATGTACAAGCTAGAGTTAGGTAATACATAATACCCAAATTAAAGTCTCGCCAAATCTCGTCGTCAAAAATGGAAAAATATATCCTAATTTAGGCAAAATAACATGAATTTAGTGAGGATCTATCATGAGGCAAATTAGGAGAAATTGAAAGAAAATCACAATTAACAATACCTTATAATGTAACAAAAGGCCACCTTATTTCTATCAAAATTAATTGAGTAAATAAAGAAGAATCTAGGATTGAACAACAATAAGTAAATTTCCTTTACAATGGATAAAGTAAATACATAGTACTTCCTCAATGAGGACGAGTCTAGAAACTAGAAAGTATGAACAAATATTTAATTACCAAAATTTAATCTCAATGAGGACAAATAGGTGTATTTTAATGTCTACCTTAATGAATAACTGAAGTTCAATCTTTACTTTAAATATGAATTAATAATACAAAAATATCAATTCATTTTCAAAATAAATCAACTTAATAGGAATATTTTATACTTTTTAGTTATTAAAAAAAAACCGGTTATTTATCAATTTTGGGAATTAAAACGTTATATGTTAGAATATGTTAAAAGTATTACATGATTATGTTAAATGATTTTTTTTTTTGTAATTTAGTTGTAATAATTTTTAATTAATATTTAGTGTCAGGTGCATGTAAGAGGCACAACAACAAGACATTTGTTTTAAGATCCCATTTGTATAAGGCCCTATATATATATATTTTTTAAAATATATTGTTATTATTATAATTATTAATTAAAACTATTAGATAATAAATTTTGTTATATTATGATATATTATTTACTATTTTAATTTTATTAGTAAGACTACATAATCTTAAGAAATAAGTGGGTATTATTGTAAACCATTTGAGTGCAATTGTATTATTGATTATTTATTTAAAATAGTTAGAAAATTATTTTGCATCTATTTTGGACTCCTCTTCTCCTTTAAAAATATGTTATTGAAATTAGTAGAATTAAAATTTAATGAATGAATTTATGATTGACTTATAAGAAAGATATTTTTAGTGAAAATGATGATAAAAAATTCACACATTTAATTAGATATATATTAGATTAATTTACATATTTAATTAAATGTCAAATAAAATAATTTCAAATTATGAAACCAGTTTTTTTAATTAAAAAAAAACTAGATGATCATGAAGTGAAAAATACTAATTTTAAAAATAAAGATAATACAAGAAGTGAGTAATAAATAAATTCATGCTCCACTAATATTGCATTATACAGAAAGAATTTTTTATATAAAAAAAAGTCATACTATTTTTATCGCTAAATAATAGTTTTCTAAATTAAAATAACTCAAATGTTATCTAATTAACCTATGTCAAAAAAAAATTAAATTAAATAATTATAGATTTTAATAGATAAACATAGACAGTATATGTCAACCAATTAATTAAAATTAGTTCAGATGTGATTTTTTGGGTAATTAATATCTAACGTAACAAACTTATCATACCTGATAATTTATGATTAAATAATTGTTTTTTTTACACTATTAAGGCATATATATAATTTCTCTCAAAATTATATATATGGAAGAAATCTTATTCGTCCAATGCAAAATTAATATATCCATGGTACACATTAAATGTGTTCCCTGTAGAGTTCAGTTTAGGGACATGCCTTAAAGGTCCCTTGCAAATGAATTATAAGTTACATTATTTTTTTTATTCTTTAGAATAGTGCATATGGCAATTTTTTCTTTTAAAAGAAAAACAACTGGATTAGCTGGTCCGAAAGCTGCAGCTACACTCTTGTACCTAAAATTAGAGCAACTTCAAGGTATTAGAAAACCGAAAAGCACCGAACGAATGACTTCAGAATTGGACAAATTATCGAAAACGAGGATATATGACAGGATTGAGTGCAACACAAACCTATGACTCGTATAATTTTGGATAATAAATAATATAGTTAATCATTTATACATTATCGATATAAATTTTTTTTACATTAACAATTAATTATATCTTTTAATTATACCATGTTATCGTTAAAAATAAATATATTTATAATGATATAACATAATTAAAAATATAATTAATTATTAATATATAAAAAATTTACGGATTAACTCTAAATAATATCCATATCCTCTAACCGGGTTTTGTCGACCATCAACTCTCAAGTGGAAGTATATCTGTTACTTCAGTTTGAGTTTGGCAAATTTTTAATAATGCAATGCCTAATTTACAAAGTACCTCAAAAAAAAAAAATCTACAAAGTAGATATTACTAAAGATCATCTACTTCCACAGACTGTTGAATATGCACTGTTTTTAATGTGCTAGCACGTAACAAAACTGACATAATTAATGAGGGGCATTTACACTCTGATTGGTTACGATGGAAAATAGGAAGGAAATTGAAATAAGAAATTAAAAAAAAAAAAAAAGATGGGTCCACATATATCATGTTTCTACATTTGAGACGGTTGAATTAGAGAAGAAACTGTGAGAATCAATCTAAACACTGCCCTTATCCTTCGGGAGCCACTCACCCACTCTCGTCCCTATCCACCGAAGAAGCTTCACATATGTTGCTTCCAAATCCTTCTTCTAATTATGGTGATGATGAAGTGAAAAATGAATCTTATATCAATCTTGTTTGATTGTAAAAATAAAAAATAAAAATGCACGTGAAAAGAAAGTGCTTCTTTCCCTCTCTACCTAGTTTTAATAAAAGCCACGTGAACAATTTTGGGAGTACAATGATTTTAAAGAAAATTAGAGGGGTATGACAAGTAAATAATTTCTGTCATTAATAAAAAAATGAATGATTAATAGTGTATTTAATTTGTTGGGGGTGCTTTTACTTTTTACCTCGTAATTTTTTTTATTATTTTTAATTGATCTTTGTTGCCCCTACAATTCACAAAAAATACAATAAAAATAATAGTGTGGCATGTGTCTAACTCTTGAACTACGCTTTTGATTTATAACTCTTGAATTTAGAAAAGTGTTACGCCGATGAGGAGAACAAGGACAAGAATTGGTCGTGTTATATTGTGTCCTCATGCTCGCTGAGTAACTGGTGAAGACATTTCTTTGAGTCACACACCTCCCCAACAGCACGAAGTATTAATTACATTTAGGCTTTGTCCCGAATAAGCTTTTTTGATCAACTTTATTCAGAACTTCTAATTTCATTCTTATGTTAATCGGACATAAATAAATAAACTGTTTATAAGTGATTTTATATTTGAAAACCTTTTTAAACTCGAATGAATTTATTGCATAATTCTAGTATTTTTCTTTATCATCCTCGCATATTCTTTTTGCTCTTTATGACAAACAACCCCAAAAACAAATAACACGAATATATTTCATATGAAGATCAAGTGTTCAGTAATATGCATGTGGCAAGTATCGATATTAACACGTATGGTTAGATTAGATGAAGCCCCAGCCAGCTTGGTGCAGAACCATAGTCATCAATCAACTTGCATATGCCTGATTCTGAATCCTCTAAGTGGGAAACTTGGAATGACCCTTGTGTTATGGCAATTCCTCCAAGCTATGATTCAAGGTGTGTACAAAAAGGAAATTTCAAGTGGTATTATTCAGCATGTTGTTCCATAAATATCATGACAAATAGTGGTCATTATCATTGTCGAGGTCTTCCAATTCCTCGTTTCCGGATGTTAGAAGCTTAACTGTTAAGACGAAGAACAGGTTGGGGTAATATGACATCAACATAAATCATTCACACTAAGCCTAAATTCATTCCTAAATCATCATTTTTAGACGATCAATCTCTACCTTACATGCAATAATATCCAGTTCCAGTTGAAAGATGGGAATTTGCATCACCCATGGATGAACTCAAAAAATAAATAACAGGAAAGAGACAAAGAACTTAGATCTGCAATAAACCAGAAGAATCTGGACGGCACCACCCTTTGGAATGAGTTGGGGGGTCGCCGATGAACCTT